ACTACAACCAGAATACTACAACTAGAATACTGCAACTAGAATACTGCAACTAGAATACTACAAACTAGAATACTACAACTAGAATACAACAACTAGAATACTACAACTAGAATACAACGAGAATACTACAACTAGAATACTACAACTAGAATACAACAACTATAATACAACAACTACTATACAACAACTAGAATACAACAACTAGAATACTACAACAAGAATACTACAACAAGAATACTACAACTAGAATACTACAACCAGAATACTACAACTAGAATACTGCAACTAGAATACTGCAACTAGAATACTACAACTAGAATACTACAAACTAGAATACTACAACTAGAATACAACAACTAGAATACTACAACTAGAATACTACAAACTAGAATACTACAACTAGAATACAACAACTAGAATACTACAACTAGAATACTACAAACTAGAATACTACAAACTAGAATACTACAACTAGAATACAACAACTAGAATACTACAACTATAATACAACAACTACTATACAACAACTAGAATACAACAACTAGAATACTACAACAAGAATACTACAACAAGAATACTACAACTAGAATACTACAACCAGAATACTACAACTAGAATACTACAATTAGAATACTACAACTAGAATACTACAATTAGAATACTACAACTAGAATACTACAACTAGAATACTACAACTAGAATACAACAACTAGAATACTACAACTAGAATACTACAACTAGAATACTACAACGAGAATACTGCAACTAGAAGACAACAACTAGAATACTACAACGAGAATACTACAACTATAATACAACAACTATAATACAACAACTAGAATACAACAACTAGAATACTACAACTAGAATACAGCAACTAGAATACTACAACTAGAATACAACAACTAGAATACAACAACTAGAATACTACAACTAGAATACTACAACGACAATACTACAACGACAATACTACAACTAGAATACTACAGCTACAATACTACAACTAGAATACTACAACGACAATACTACAACTACAGTACTACAACGACAATACTACAACGACAATACTACAACTAGAATACTACAGCTACAATACTACAACTAGAATACTACAACGACAATACTACAACTACAGTACTACAACGACAATACTACAACGACAATACTACAACTAGAATACTACAACTACAATACTACACCTAGAATACTACACCTACAATACTACAACTACAATACTACAACGACAATACTACAACTAGAATACTACAGCTACAATACTACAACTAGAATACTACAACGACAATACTACAACTACAGTACTACAACGACAATACTACACCTAGAATACTACAACGA